TGTTCGAATGATTTTCATCATTTAAAATCACCTTGGAAAGCCTATCTTTTAAATCTCGACACAAATCATTCTCACTTTGCTAATGTCTCGAACGATTGAAACGACCAATTTCAAAAAAACAATTAGAGATTTTTTAATCATTTTCGAATAATTGAATTAAGATATATAGTATTGTCGGATTCCATCGTGTACCGTGCAATACAATACGTACAGATTAAAGAAACTAGTTTGATCAATTGATATAAAGAAACGCATTCGTGATCAATGAAACAAATAAACACACTTACCAAAAAGGTCAAATCGAGTTCAACGTGACTTAGGGGATGCCAAAAAATGTTATAAAACAAGAATCTATTATTTTTCAAATGAAAAAAAACTAGGTAATCGCTTTTCTAGAACTGAAACCAATGGAACATGTAATTGAATAATCAGCATTTTCAAGTTGTTTTTGTCTTTAACATCCATATTTCAAAAAGTACTACCAATAACAATTAGTGATTTAGTAAGAAGATAGATAATTGTTGACTTAACTATAATTTCGTGTCTATGATTTTGCATAGCAACGGAATATAAATCGATAGTGAAATTGAAAAATTGGGGTAGGGAAGAATAAAAAAAATATACATCTAAATTTAAAGAGGTTCATCATTATAATTATATGATACCATAGTTAGCATAAGCATTACGGAAAATGCAGAAAAAATGTCAAAGGTATTCATCGAGTAGTTTTTGAAAAAAACACAGTTTTCCTCTCAAATTCGTGAAGAGAACGCGATTCACGAATATTTGGCGAAATTGTATTTACATGTATAAGACAGTCAATAGTGGCTCGATTTTCATGACATAAAGCATGTTGGTAAGGGAATTCAATCTGTTAAATGATATTTGCCAGACAGACCAATAATGATATGGTATCCACAAAACATTTCTTTAGGCTAGTGTGCTCGAGATTACTTTTGCACAATACAATGAGAAAATATGACTAAAGAACATAGGAAAGTTAAAAAGTCTTTTTTATTCTCACTTTTCAACACTACGCACTGGCGTTTTGGCGTACATTGTTCCTACGCCACTGATAGTGTACATCTCCAGACCAAGTATCTAGTCAAGAGGTGACAATTATGGTAATATTATTACTAAATCCGTCATTTGTGCTGTTTCGCAAGCTGTCACATGGCAACAAGGTGAGGACCTCAATGACATATAATAAGAGAAATAGCAGTGAACACTGGGAGCCAAACCTCCTTGTAGTCAAGCATGCAAAAATATCATCATTGGTGACATTAGAAACATGAATGCTGTCCTTAGACTTAACCCTTCATTTACCATCCATACGATTTGTCACAAGTCTGCTCTGTTTGTTAAAAGACCACAGTGAATAGAGGGTAAGGAGGTGGTGAAAAAACAACAAGAACCAACCTATATATCAGAACACCTCTCTAATCAGGACACCTCTCAATGTACACAGAAATGTGAACATCGCCAATCTGAACACTTTGGGTCAGTCCCAGTGGCATTTAGATTGTACAGTTTTACTGTACATGTATTTAGATTTTATTAAGAGAAGGAAGGGACATTTTGCAATTTTGTGGGATGTTCCATATGGATGGCCAGCAAAGGGTTAAGAATTGATATGATTGAAATGTTGAATTAAATTCATTCAAATGCTCTGAGAATTTATTAAAAAGTTGCTAGCTTTCCTGAATAACAATTTGAGATAAAAGATGCATGGTCCTTTATAACTCCACACACATCAATACTTTAAAGTGATCTCCCAAGGATTTTAACAGTGTTAACCTAATTGTTTAACTGAAAAGCTTAAAACTTCCAGTTCATAATTTCCCAAGTTTTCAACTGGGAGCAAAGAATTTTAAAGTGGGTGCAAGAGCAATTTAATTTTTTTTATTGTGTATGCTGGATTTTCAAGTGGGTGCGAAATAATTCTAAAATTCTCAACTGGGTGCAATATATTTTCAAGGTCCATCTTGAGTTCTCAACATAGAGCAAGGGATTTTCAAGTAGGTGCAAGATCAATCTTAAATTCTTAATAAGTTGCAGAATTAAGTTATCTCAACCCTTGGGTGATCACTTGTCATCCTTAAAATACAGTACATGTACATATGTTACTACATGTACATATGTTACTACATGTACATATGTTACTACATGTACATATGTTACTACATGTACATATGTTACTACATGTACATATGTTACTACATGTACATATGTTACTACATGTAGTTTGAAAATAAAATAGTCTACCTATTCTAAATCAACTAATCTATTCAAACGTAACAAATTATCAACATAGACTGCAATTGCAATGTTTTAAATATTTATACCATATATACTAATTTAAAACTAGATAAAGAATCATTAAATTAGGGACTATACATGTACATATATTATATTCATCAATATGTCTCAAAACAGGATCACAAGCTGGCAGACTGAGGTACAGGTAGTTATCATTAAATTAGTGAACAAAGATATGAAAAAAAGATCATAAGTTCTGCAATAAATCTTAAGATGCCCTGAACTTTCATGTAATAGTTCCAAATAGACTTAATTTATAATAACATGATTTATTATTTTTATTGGTAGAGAATATAAAATATATCTATTTATATTTTATTAGATCTTAAATTCATAAGCCATAGTTCATTATTATTTATTAGACTTTATGAGGCATTCTACAAAATCTTTTATGTAAAATCACTTCATTCAATTTTCAGTGTGGTTAAAGTGGCACCCTCTGTATTTTCAGTACTTTGAGCAAAAACATCTCACATTTGTGATATTGGGGAGTCAACTGCATTTTTAGTTTATACATTAATATAAATGCAATATAAATATATATAAATAAAACATTCTTAATGTTAATTTTGAAGAAGGAATAAAAGCTTTTAATGAATCTTCTTTTTTCCAGGTATGTACCATTTTAGAAATGGTCAATCAAATGATACAGGCAGTGCCACTTTAAATAACAATTTCTCATATTTTTACTAGTCCCTTTATACAGAGGTAAACTTTCAGTATACTGTAGAAGTGGAAACTTTAGTGAAACAAAACTTTAGCGAGATGGTCCCTAAAACTCTATTGCCGAATTAAACTTTCCCGGACCAGCAATCAAGAAAATGGAAAATTACTTGGGCGAGCTTATAAGCTTATTATTAGGTTATCATGAAGCATTTATTCACCAACACGATTGGTTGCATTTTTGTAAACCCCGAGTTGTAAACATGTATATCACAGTTATTAGCTCTATATCACCATTATTAGCCCTATAATTAAACTTGCCTTTCGAGGAATGGTGTGTCACCATCAAAGATAAGTCGTTTATATTTGTGTGTAATCCCCAATCAATGTGCTCAAACCGTACAGTAGGTGTTAATACCCGACAAACAATCAAATAAGTAACAAACTCAGCTAATTCACTATCAAACTTTATTCTATTTATTATTATTATTAGGAATAAATACTAGTATATTCTCATAAAATAATCGTATCATTCATGTTAGTGATAAGTTGTCACGTGACAGTAGATATCCAATCAAATAACAGATTTTGTGATCGAAAAATCGAAAAATTATTTCTGTATTGTTTTCATCATTTAGGGCAACAAAACATGATTGCAAAACAAAATAGGTATTAATTATGATTGTAAATCGATGAGGAAGCACTGATGTATGTATTATTTATGTATTCGAAACGAAATTCAGCATCTGGATGTCGATCTGTATTCTTCACGGTATTATCGCCCACCGATATTTTTTCATATTTTTCTACGAATTTTTATTTTGGCGTCTCTCCTTAAACACTAAATTTCGCCAAAGTTTCCACGTCGTTAAAGTTTCCATTTCTACAGTAAGTATACATGTATATTCAATTCAATTGGCATGCTTCAACATTATTGATAAAATTAATGGTGAATGGATTTTTCATATATTTATATTTCTCATCTGCTCTCTTCAGTCTTGTCTGCACAGACACAGAAAATGCCTAAAATGTGTTCCTTAATGCATTTACATGTTAAATGTTTGTATTCTGATTCTGTATTCTAGCAAAGTATTCCTCAAGCTGTGCAACAGACTGGCTGGGTCGTCACCATGACGATTAACTATTAATACAGACCCACTTTCTCATCCCCATGTTTGTTTATTTGAAAAGGGGAATGGACTGGGAGAGTAATTTTGCCCAAAGGCTCTGGTCATATTCCCCCACTCTCATCCCCCAGGAGGGAAAGATGCCCAAAAGGATGCAATGATAACTGTACAGTTACTATGGTAAAACCTGTGGATATGGAACATCCCCTTCTGTACTGGAAAAAATATTCCTTGTAAACAGGTGTTCCTTTCAGAGAGGGTTTGTGAGTCAATTTGTCATAGGGTCTTTTGAAAACTGTTCTATATGAAGAGGCATTTCTTTCATAGGGGTATGTTCCACCAGACAAGCTTGACTGTATATACATATACTAAGTAGTCCTGCAGATTACAAGTCATTTAAAATGTTGAGATTATTTGCAAGTTTATGTACAGCCCTGCTGTTTGATTCTTCTCAGTTTTAAACTTGTGATTTCATTCATCCATAATATAGTCTGGTAATACAATACAACTGCAGAACTTTGCCATTGCATTATAGCCTGGTAACACAGTACAGTTCAGCTGCAATTTACGTAGTTGCAGAACTTTGATTCTGTTATAGCCTGGTAATACAGAACAGTTCAGCTGCAATTTGCGTAATTGCAGAACTTTGCCATTGTGTTATAGCCTGGTAATACAGTACAGTACAGCTGCAATTTACGTAATTGCAGAACTTTGCCATCGCGTTATAGCCTGGTAATACAGAACGGTTCAGCTGCAATTTACGTAATTGCAGAACTTTGCCATTGCGTTATAGCCTGGTAATACAGAACAGTACAGCTGCAATTTACATAATAGCAGAACTTTGCCATTGCGGCTATACATGCTTCAATCAATTTCTTGATTCATCTCTAGTCTTACACACAGTTTGGTTTTTTAAGTCTATATATGGACGTTATGCTATCGTTTAGTTAAATACCATGCGGCAGCTATAGATACGAATGCACAGCCAGCGACAAATCCTATTGTAGACCAACCTACTTGTTCTGGTATTTCTCTAAGTGCAGCTATCTGAAAACCATAACAAACAAAATGCAATTTACTATTATGTGCTTGGTAGTTTTGTTTTCAATTTATAAGTACAGTAAAACCTATATGTCCAAATACCTCTCTTGGAATACTTCTTAATGCGAACAATTTTTTTCAGTCTCATTTTTTGACCTGCTATTTAGAGTTCCATGTTAAAAAACCTTGAAGTGTTTAAACCTGCCAATCTGAACACTCTTAGTTGATCCCAGAGACATTTGGATTTGAAAAGTTTTACTGTACATCCTTTTATATATTATTTTTACAGTATGCAGCTGGTAAATGATATTTTGTTGATAACTTTTATGCATATGTGATACATGATTAAGCAAAATATCACATTGATCTTTACACAATATTAGAATTATCACTGGTTGTTAACATACAGACTGTATTCAGACTGTATTCATAACTAGACAACAGCAACGCCAAAGCGTAGCAAATCCCATCGAACAGCCATGGCCTGCATTTTTACAAAGTATATAGCAACAAGAACACAAATGTGTACAAAATGTCCCCACCAAGTGGTGATCCCGTGAAATGGTTATCCTGAAAATGAGTAGACAAGACTTTACCAACACAATTTGAGGACGGAAAATCCAAAGTGGCCACCTTAAAATTTACCCAGAATGCCCAAAATTTAGTCAGTTCTAGATTTTCATACTAAGAACCACCCCTGAAAAATTTGAAATTGATCCGTCACACAGTTAACCAGAAAACATGTAAAGAAGACTTTACAGACAAGATTTCAGGATGGAAAATCCAAAATGGCTGCCTTGACATTTACCGAGAATATCAAAAAACTAATCTGTTTGTAGATTTTCATACTAAGAATCATCCCTGAAAATATGAAATTGATCTACCAAACGGTTCACCTGAAAACGGGTAGACAAGACTTTACAGACAAGATTTTAGGACAGAAAATCCAAAATGGCTGCCTTAACATTTACGCAGAATGCAAAAAAAGTAATCAGATGTAGATTTTCATACAAAGAATCATCCCTGAAAATTTGAAATTGATCTACCAAACCGTTCACCTAAAAACGCGTAGACAAGACTTTACAGGCAAGATTTTAAGACGGAAAATCCAAAATGGCTGCCTTGACATTTACCCAGAATGCAAAAAAACTAATGAGTTCTAGATTTTCATACTAAGAATCATTCCTGAAAATTTGAAATTGATCTACCAAACAGTTCACCTGAAAACGAGTAGACAAGACTTTACAGACAAGATTTTAGGACGGAAAATCCAAAATGGCTGCCTTGACATTTACCCAGAAAGCCAAAAAACTAATGAGATATAGATTTTTATACTAAGAATCATCCCTGAAAATTTGAAATTGATCCACCAAACGGTTCACCTGAAAACGGGCAGACAAGACTTCACAGACAAGATTTTAGGACCGAAAAATCCAAAATGGCCGACAATAAAAAAGTCCTTATGAGTTTTTGCTGATTTCTTTTTACAAAATTATCACATATAACTACTGTTAACAATAAAGTAGGCTTTTACAGCAAAGTACATCTGAAATTATTTATAAAGCTACTAAATAGTTAAAGTATGAAAACTCAAAAACACCATTGAATATGATACAAAGTATTATCGCGCGCTAACTTTTCTTAAGACATTCAAAATGGCTGACATGACTGAGCTAGCAGGTCCAAAACCTAATCAGATCTAGAATGAAGTGAGCTGAACAAGATGTTAAAGTTTTAAATGCAACTGTGAAGCAGTTTTTCTTAAAGTTTGCAGACAAGGATTTTAGCATTTGACTTCAAAATGGCCGACAGGAAGTAGGTTTCGAGTTAAATTTTTTTCATCCACATCTATAGGCACTCATAAGTTATTCCTGAAAATTAGAAGGTGATACCTGTAGCGGTTTTGGAGAAAACTGCCGGACGTACGGACGGACAGACAGACAACCAGACAGACAGACAGACGGACGGACGGACGCGCCTAGGACGACAATATGGCCCCACACTATGTGGTGGGGACATAAAAATGGCAGCCATTTTTCAAAATGACCACCTTCTACCACAAGTGTCATTAGACAGTGTGCCATACTTATAGTATTCACATACCAAATATGAACACTACTTTTCTAGTTATGGTAAAATAGGATAAAATGGTGGTGATTTTGAAAAACATAGTAAAAGTATTTATAGTAAATTACATTAAAATGGTGACCATTTTTCAAAAAAGTGTCATTAGACAGTGTGCCATGCTTTAAGTATTCACATACAAAATATGAGCAAAATCGCTTCACTTCTTTTCGAGTTACAGCAAAAATCGTAAAATAGCGAGTAAAGGCCGCTATTTTTCAAGATGGCTGCCATGTGCTTCTTTAAGATCTACATTTCTAGCTTTATTAATTTCCTATATAATTTTTTTTATATTTAAAACATATTGCTATTACAGTTTTACATATTGTACCTAAATTACTGTAAAATCAGCATTAAAATGGCCGCCATTTTTGAATAACGGACGGAGGCATTCCCTATATCCCTCCGAACTTCGTTCGATGGGATAATAACATATGAAAATAGCATGCCATTCAAAGCATGACACATAATTCAAGTAAATGACTTTTAAATAATAGTAAGTTATTTTACCAAAAGGAAATGCTTTTATTTAGTTACTTACCCATCCACCCTGTTGTGCAATCCATTGGGCGATCTTTTCATTTAAGATAAACTTTACTATAAATTTAACTATTTTGTTAAAAAATCCTCTGATTCCATTCTGAAATACTGATATAGCTAGCCTATATCCGAAGCTGAGTAGAGTTGCAATTCGTCCCCAGTTTATGTTCCCATCTATAAAGAGTCTGAAAGCAAAAAATACATATATGTGTTTATTATATCATTGAAATGTTTCTCGCTTTCTCATTGGATAAGAACCGATCACATGATTAAAAATATTAGGGTGTATTTCATTGTTTCCTGCATTGTCCAGCTGCAGCCTCGTTTTCAACTGTATATACCACGGTGTAAATACCACAGAGTGTATACCTCGGTAGAAAGTCCCGGATGTTATGTTTTTGTTATGACGTCACTTCAATATTATAGAAAATTCTGGGATACGCATGGCAACCAAGCATTATTGTTATGACGTCAAAGCTTATATTTATAGAATGAGCATGGGTTCCCATAGTAACAGTGTATCTGTTGCCATTTTGTTGATGAGCCAGTGAAGTCATCGTGTTTGTGAGGTCACGTTGGAAGGATAAAGACAAAGGGGCGCGAAATCTAGTTAATATTTACATTTAATTTATGACATGATGCCATAAGGTAGTTAAAAATCATTTGTGTTTTTCAGATGTTGCCCTTTGAGCCATCTGATCAGGAAATATTTACAAAGTACTTTAAGTTGAGTCATAAACACTTTGAGGTTTTAACTTAAAGCATCTAATAACAACATCACATTGAATCAATCATTTCCAAAGAATGCAACCACAAATGTCTCTGATATCATAAACAAACAAGGTTAAATTGACATGTTTTGTTTTGTATTGCTTTTTCGATCCATAACATCAATGAATATACAGTATATGCACTCAAGAAAACAAATATTGAAACTTATAATTGCTGCCTATAAAATGAACTATTGATTTCCGAAATCAGTTTTTTTGTAGATTCAATGTCAAGGTCAGAATTTCAGGCATTCTGAAGTCTTTCGATCAATAATGCTGTATATCATGTTTTTGGAAATAGCAATTTAGAAATTTAAGTGTATAAACTCTAACTGTGATCCCCAAATACACAAAATGTTAATATAATACTGAATCGCCACCATCCATACGCTTTGTTACAAATCTTGCTTCTTGAATTAAATACACCTTTCAGATTTTACCATAATCGCTGTATTAAGCACCCACCCTTTATATTATTAGAATGGTCTGAAGGAGGTATTTTGAATTTTCTAAGCACCCGGGTGCTAATTATATAGAATATGGTATGCTGTTTACTATTGAAGCAATCTTTTTCAAGAGTTAACATTTACGACAGACAAGAATGTTTGTATCAAAGTCTACTGCTTTTGCATGTAAAGTAATACAGCTTGTTATGATTTATCATGTATTTAATGGTTCTTTCTATTTGACTAAAACTGGTAATATAAAACATTTCATCAAAAGTCATCAATAGCATTGTATCATTTCTCTACCTCCCACATCTATTCTAAATAGTATATGCCCTAGGGAAGAGACCATCGAGATTGACCTTCAAATAAACATTCCAAAATTAACTTACTTTCTAGCAACGCCAGCGAAGGCGTCATAAGCAGTATCTGGAGTGACGTTTAATATCTTTATCATATCTCGAAACTGCCCTGCATACTGTTCATTTATATCATCACCAATCTGCGCTAATTGTCGGCCGACTTGAGCAGGACGTCTGCAAAGACAATCAAACATAATTTAATTTTTTTGCCATAATAGAAAAATGGAAGCACTATACATGATTTTCATGGAGAGGCCAATATTATTTAATTGTTTATGTCTTGGACAATCCAATTCTTATTATGATGTTAGGTTTTGGCCATACAAAATCAAACAAATGCCTGTTTTTAAAACAGTTAATGTTAACATTTACAATTATGCTTCATTTGAAGGTACCTTTATCTTGCAGGACATGGAGAACCAGAAAAAAACATGGCAGTTATTTCATATTTCATACATAAAACACTGTAGTAAAGCTGTTAACATTTTGATACAATTTACATACTAAACATAAACTTCTACATAAACTGCATGTGATTCTAAATCAATATAACATAGAAATGTCTTCTTATTTTCAAACTCATAGTGGTTTTTAGGCAATATGTACTGAGATTGTCTAAGATTGGCACACTCTGCACACCTTATTCTAGTGTACCTCTAGTGTACCAAATTGCTATATAAAATATAGTCATGCAGAGGCCATCACATCAAGCAATCACCAACAATCAAAACAAGGCATTTAACTTATAGTGGTTATTATTAGACTCCAGATGAAAATCTGGAGTCTATTGCTTTTGTCAGTTTTCTTCTTCTTATTATTAGACTCCAGATTGAAAATCTGGAGTCTATTGCTTTTGCCAGTTTTCTTATTAGACTCCAGATGAAAATCTGGAGTCTATTGCTTTTGCCAGTTTTCTTATTATTATTATTTATCTTTCTTTCTTTCTTTCCGAACACTTTTTCTCAGCAACTAGAAGAACTTACTTTAACCTACTTACATGGCTAACATAGCCCATCGACCTAGTTTCTGGGAAATTAGGTCAAGTTTGTATCTAGGTCAAAGGTCAAGAACCAGGTCAAATTTAGGTCAAATCAACATTCTGTCAATTATCTTCGTTGTTTATTGTCGTTACTCCTTCATCTTTTTTTCATCATGTAGCTTAGAAAAAAACAAATCGAGAGTGTGCCATCCGTTTTTTGATTACTCTTAGCGATTTTGAGATATGGCGTCCGGAAAGTAGGTCAAACTGAAAAAGTTCTCCAAATTTAACATATAAGCTATGGAATAAGGGTAGGATTTCCTCAGGAATCCGAATCTGCAAACCAAATTTCGATCCGACTTCCCGTTTGAAAGTTATGGCGTTTTGAAATTTCGAGAAAAATCGATCTGATGTTATCCTGATAGAAAGTCAAGGAAAAAAGATTTTTTTGAAGTGTAAAATATGAGATATAGATTGAGTACAGCTTTAGATAATGAATTCCTATAAAAGAAGGGGACCTCAAAAGCTACCTAGTTTCAATATTTGGACACCAAAATGCCTAGGTCAAAATCTAGGTCAAATTCATAGTTTTTCCTTATTTTTGCGATTCTGGCACTACACTTTTACGATTTGCTTCAAAATTTTGTATACAGGTAGCAAAGAATGTGCTAATAGTGTTAGCCTTTTGCCGTCAGAGAGTATTCTGACCCACTTTTGAGATATGGTGTCCGAAAAGTAGGTCAAAATAAAACATTCTCCAAATTTAACATATGAGTTATGACTTAAGAGTAGAATTTTCACAGGAATCCAAATCTGCAAATCAAATTTCGATCTGACTTCCGGTTCAAAAGTAATGGCGTGTCCGAAAAGTAGGTCCAAATAAAAATTCGCCAAATTTAACGTATGAGTTATGAATTAGGGGTAGAATTTTGTCAGGAATCCGAATCTTTAAATCAAATTCCGATTTTACTGCCGGTTCGGAAGTTATGGCGTTTTGAAATTTCGAAAAATCGATCTGATGGTATCCTGATAGAAAGTCAAGGAAAAAAGATTTTTTTGAAGTGTAAAATACGAGATATAGATTGAGTACAGCTTAAGATAATGAATTCCTATAAAAGAAGGGGACCTCAAAAGCTACCTAGTTTCAATATTTGGACACCAAAATGCCTAGGTCAAAATCTAGGTCAAATTCATAGTTTTTCCTTATTTTTGCTATTCTGGCACTACACTTTTAGGATTTGCTTCAAAATTTTGTATACAGGTAGCAAAGAGTGTGCTAATAGTGAGAGCCTTTTGCCGTCAGAAAGTATTTGACCCACTTTTGAGATATCGTGTCCGTAAAGTAGGTCAAAATAAAAAGTTGTCATAATTTAACTTACGAGTTATGAATTAAGGGTAGAATTTTCTCAGGAATCCGAATCTGCAAACCAAATTTCAATCCGACTTCCAGTCAAAAATTCCTACTTACCTACCTACTTACCTACTCGGCTACCTACTTAGCTACCTACTCAGCTACTTACTCAGCTACCTACTCAGCTACTTACTCAGCTACCTGCCCAGCTGCTTACTCAGCTACCTACTCAGCTACTAACTCAATTACTTAATTATCTACTTACTCAGCTTCCTACTCAGTTACTTACTCAGCTCTTTACTCAAGTAAATCAATCTGGAGTCTTAAATTGAACTTTGTTCAATTTACCAATCTAGTTATTCTTTCTTTCTTTCTTTCCGAACACTTTTTCTCAGCAACTAGAAGAATTTACTTTAACCTACTTACATGACCAACATAGCCCATCAACCTAGTTTCTGGGAAATTAGGTCAATTTTTTATCTAGGTCAAAGGTCAAGAACTAGGTCAAATTAAGGTCAAATCAACAATCTGTCAATTATCTTCGTTGGTGTTTGTCCTAACTCCTTCATCTTTTTTTCAACATGTAGCTTAGAAAAAAACAAATCGAGAGTGTGCCATCCGTTTTTTGATTCCTCTTACCGATTTTGAGATATGGCGTCCAGAAAGTAGGTCAAACTAAAAAAGTTCTCCAAATTTAACAAATGAGCTATGAAATAAGGGTAGAATTTTCTCAGGAATCCGAATCTGCAAATCAAATTTCGATCCGACTTTTGGTTCGGAAGTTATGGCGGTTTGAAAGCTCAAAAATCGCTAAATTTGGTGCCCCATGTTAAGTCAATGGGAAAAAAGACTTTTTTGAAGTGTAAAATCCGAGATATAGACTAAGTACAGCTTAAGATAATGAATTCCTATAAAAGAAGGCGACCTCAAAAGCTACCTAGTTTCAATATTTGGACACCAAAATGCCTAGGTCAAAATCTAGGTCAAATTCATAGTTTTTCCTTATTTTTGCGATTCTGGCACTACACTTAAAGGATTTGCTTCAAAATTTTGTATACAGGTAGCAAAGAGTGTGCTAATAGTGTTAGCCTTTTGCCGTCAGAGAGTATTTTGACCCACTTTTGAGATATGGTGTCCGAAAAGTAGGTCAAAATAAAAAAATTCTCCAAATTTAACATATGAGTTATGAATTAAAAGTAGAATTTTCTCAGGAATACGAATCTGCAAACCAAATTTCGATCCGACTGCCGGTTCCAAAGTTATGGCGTGTCCGAAAAGTAGGTCAAAATAAAAATTCGCCAAATTTAACGTATGAGTTATGAACTAGGGGTAGAATTTTGTCAGGAATCCGAATCTTTAAATCAAATTTCGATCCGACTTCCGGTTCGGAAGTTATGGCATTTTGAAATTTCGGAAAATCGATCTGATGGTATCCTGATAGAAAGTCAAGGAAAAAAGATTTTTTTGAAGTGTAAAATACGAGATATAGATTGAGTACAGCTTAAGATAATGAATTCCTATAAAAGAAGGGGACCTCAAAAGCTACCTAGTTTCAATATTTGGACACCAAAATGCCTAGGTCAAAATCTAGGTCAAATTCATAGGTTTTCCTTATTTTTGCGATTCTGGCACTACACTTTTAGGATTTGCTTCAAAATTTTGTATACAGGTAGCAAAGAGTGTGCTAATAGTGTTAGCCTTTTGCCGTCAGAAAGTATTTTGACCCACTTTTGAGATATGCTGTCCGTAAAGTAGGTCAAAATAAAAAGTTCTCATAATTTAACTTATGAGTTATGAATTAAGGGTAGAATTTTCTCAGGAATCCAAATCTGCAAACCAAATTTCAATCTGACTTCTGGTCAAAAATTCCTACTTACCTGCCTACTTACCTACCCGGCTACCTACTTAGCCACCTACTCAGCTACCTACTCAGCTACTTACTCAGCTACCTACTCAGCTACCTGCTCAGCTGCTTACTCAGCTACCTACTCAGCTACTTACTCAATTACTTAATCATCTACTTACTCAGCTTCCTACTCAGTTACTTACTCAGCTCTTTACTCAAGTAAATCAATCTGGAGTCTTAAATTGAACTTTGTTCAATTTACCAATCTAGTTATTATTATTTTTCTTTCAGAATCTTCCTCCTTACAAGATTTCTCACCAACTAGAAGAGCTTACTTTAAGCTGCTTACATGATCAACTAGGGAATGTATCTGGGATGATGGGAAATTAGGTCAAATTTTTATCTAGGTCAAAGGTCAAGAACTAGGTCAAATCCAGTACTTTGTCACTTTTTTCAATTTTCTCGGTCGTCCTTCAATATTTTCAATCCGGGTTTTTTTCATTGTGTTCCTCATAAAAAAGTAGGGGAAAACAGGTCGATTTAGTTTTTTGATATCTCAAACCGATTTCGAGATATCTGTGTCCGAAAACGAGGTCCAAAAGAAAGTTCTCCAAATTCAATGTCCACGCTACTGGTCTTGTAGGAAATTTTCTCAGGATTCCGAATCTGAAAACCAAATTTCGATTAGACTTCCGGTTTGGAAGTTATATCGTTTTGAAAGCTCAAAAATCGCTAAATTTGGTGCCCATGTTAAGTCAATGGGAAAAAAGATTTTTTTGAAGTGAAAAATACGAAATATAGACTGAGTTCAGCTTAGTATAATGGAAGCTTTTAAAAGAAGGGGACCTCAAAAGCCATCTAGCTTAAAAATTTGGACACAAAAATGCCAAGGTCAAAATCTAGGTCAAATTCAAAGTTTTTCCTTATTTTTGCGATTCTGACACTACACTTTAATTATATTCTTCGAAATCGTGTATACATGTAGCCAAGAGTGTGCT